CAGATAGGAGGAAGACTAGAAAGTTCAGGCAACAGCAAAGGTAAGGAAGAGACTACTTCATGAAAGAAGTTGCAGTGGTGTCAAATGCTGAGAGGTTAAGTAAGATAAGAGCTAAGAGGTAGCCATTGAATTTAGCATGAAAGAAGTTGAAGAAAACTTTGGCAAGAGAAGTTGAAAATAGGAATGGGCTGAAGGGTCTATGAGAGGTGAGAAAATAGAAAATTTCAGTGATGCAAAATGTCTCGATCTGCATGGAGAAAGATAATCTGGTGTCTGTGGTTGAGGTGAGGTCAAGGAATCCTTTATAAAAGGGAGGATGGGTGAAACTTATTTTTTGTTCTTTGATGGTGGAATATCTAAGGGAAAGAAGAAAAGAAGGTAAAAAACACTTGAACTTTTAGAATTAATTCTGGCTGTCTGTGTTTTCAAAGTCAAAATAGCAAAGTATTGGCATAAAAACAGACATACAGATCACAGATTAATGGAACATAATAGAGAGCCTAGAAATAAACCCATGTATATACAATCAATTAATTTATAGCAGAGGAGCTGAGAATACACAATGGGTAAAGGACAGTCTCTTCATTAAATGGTGTTGGGAATACTGGACACTCAATGAAGAAGGATGAAACTGGACCACTATCTTATACCATACACAAAAATTAACTCAAAATGCATTAAAGACTTGAATGTAAGACCTGAAACTGTAAAACTCCTAGGAGAAAACATAGGTGGTAAGCTCCTGTCATCAGTCTTAGTGATGATTTTCTAGATTTGACACCAAAAGCAAAGGCAACAAAAGCAAACAAAACAAACAGATAAAAAGGACTACATCAAACTTAAAAGCTCCTGCACAGCAAAGGAAACCATCAACAAAATGAAAAGACAACCTACTGAATAGAAGAAAAATATTTGCAATTCATAGATCTGATAAAGGGTTAATATCCAAAATGTATAAAGAACACATACAACTCCAATAGCAAAAAACCCCAAACAATCCAGTTTAAAAATGGGCAGAGGATCTAAATAGACATTCTTCCCCAAGAAGACATACAGATGACCAAAATGCACATGAAAAGATAATCAGCATCACTAATCATCGGGGAAAAGCAAATAAAAACCCCAATGAGATATCACTTCATACCTGTTAGAATGGCTATTTTCAAAAAGACAAGAAATAACAAGTTGGTAAAGATATGGAGAAAAGGGAATTCTTGTACACTGTTGGTAGGAATGCAAATTGGTTTAGCCACTATGGAAAACAATATGGAGGTTCCTCAAAAATTTAAAAATAGGACTGTCATATGATTTAGTAATTCCACTTCTGGGTATTTAGTTGAAGAAAACAAAAACACA